GTGCGCCGGAGGGTCTGGCCCCGAGGGCCGGTGTCTCGTAGGCGGCTCTTCCGCCGGCTCCTTCCCCTTCCTACGTTGGAACGGGGGTGATTCCTGCCTGTGCACAGGCGGCACGTGTGGAGGCGACCTGTGCACAGGCGACCTGTGCACAGGCGGACTGCTATTCCCACGCGTAAGCGTAGATCTACGTCCACTTGTGATCGTCTGTCTGCGGAGGCTCGTCCGTCCGCGGAGTCTCGTCTGTGCGCAAACGGAACACCTGTCCGCAACGCACGTGGTAACTCCGGAGGCCCTTGGCCCGTAGGCGGCCTCACGCCCGTCGAGGCTGCAGCGTGGTCCGTTGCTCCTGCGGTCGTCCGCGCTTCCTCATGCTTCTCTGGCGACGCACTTCCTTTCTCCGTCGCAATCGTCGCCGTATCCGCACTGTTGGCTGGTAACACTAGTCTGCGTGCCTTCTGCTTCGGCCGGCTGTATGACTCGTACAACGGCCGCGGTCGAATGGGAGCAGAGGGTTCTTGATGCTGCTCCCCTTCGGACTCTTCTCTCCATCGCCGCTTCCGCGGCACTCGTGCTGCAGGAGTGTTTCTCCCTTCGTCCCTCCGCCTTGATGGGGTAGAAGTCGGTGACTCCTCTGCATCAGTGTCGACCTCATTCTCCCGCACATACTTCCCGGGATGGTCGACGGACAACGGCGGAAAATGCTCAAGCTCCGCCGCTGTCAAACAATTCCGCTGTCGATAAAAATTGATGAGGAAAGGAGAGAGATGGTTTAGAGTCCCCCCCTTCTCCTCAAAAGCGTGCTGTCGCATCACCCTGTGCAGGATGCTCGCCCAGTGAATTGGAGTTCCCTCGATGACGCACTCCACAAAAGAGACCTGCCACAATGTGATGTAGCAGGCGCGGTGTGGCTGCAGTAATTGCATCAGCGCCGCGGACAGAGTCCGGCGAAATCGATCCTTGTAATCACGGGTCCTGTACCCATTCTTGGTAGACCTCCCGGTCTTGAACAGCTCCACAAATTGCGCCTCTTCCTGCTTGGTCACCTTGATGCTCTCACTGTCGAAGAGGAGATGCCCTGGCATGCCGGCACATCTTCCCAATGCCTGCGCCCAATCTTGGACTGTCCACCGATCAACATGCGGACGCAATCCGCGCGAGGGTGGTCCCTGTGGCTCTAGCCACTCGCGCACCATGTTCGCACAGATGTAGTTCCATCCCCATAGCAAGAAATCGAGCTTTCTTGCTTTTAAGCGCTCCTCGAAAGCGCGCAGCCCGTTCTGTGGTAGGCGAAGCGGCACCATCCGCAATCTGCCCGGTCTCGTCATTGCGTTCCTGGAGTTCGCTCGCCCGCTCATTCTACTTCCGCACCGCTCGAGCTCCTTTCTCTCTCGGCAAACTCTAATCGCCCTCAATTCCAAATCACGCGCACTCACTTCTCCCTCAATCACCAAGAAATCCCCTGTGCGACGACGTCGAGAATGTTTAGCAGCCAGCAGATGGACGCGTGCAGCGCGCACAAGAGATTGGAATCGCGAATTCAAGAATGGGACGCTCTCCGCCGCCCGGTCGAAGGTCATGGTCGGCTCTTGCTCGTGGAGGACGTCTCACTTGATGGCCGCGCCGGCTCTACGCTGGAACGGTCTCCGCTCTCACGCGCGGCTTCACGCTCCGCCGTCGCCGATTAAACTCTCACGCTCGAATTGGCGGATTTGAACTCCGCGAGCGTATTACCCCGCGGACATGGGAGCGCAGCGCCGAAGGCGAGTTTTCCGCCTTGCGCGGTACACTTGTTCGTACCGCCCCTCGGCCAATCCCCTTCTGCCTCGACGCGTGTGTCCGCATGTCGGACAAAAGTTCAACTCCTGCCTGTGCGCAGGCAGACTCCTCGGCGGATTCTCCGCCGGCGCGGAACTTCATCCTCCTGTGCACAGGCGCTCGCCTGTGCACAGGCGAATTCCGTCCGCGGCGTCGCGCTGGCGCGGAAGGCGTTGACCGTGGTCAGCCGTCTCCGTCCAGACTGTCCGTTCCTTGTCTCTTCGTCGGCGCTTCCGCCGCCGCAACTCCGTCCGTCCAAGAGCGCATCCACCCGTCCCGTCCGCGGAGTCCGTACGGATTTGATTATTCTGGCGGCTCCTTGCTCGTCCGCGGCGCCGCGCTGGCGCAGAAGGCGCCGTACACTTTCTACCTCACAAGGCGCATTTCTAGGGCCCAAGGCGGATTTTCCGCCGACGCCGAAGCGCCTGTGCACAGGCGGACGCCTGTGCGTAGGCGGACTTCGCGCCTCCCCAAACACTACTTCGCCTGTGCACAGGCGAACTTCCTTCGTCCGCGCATAGGACAAAACTTGATTCCCCCTTCCGCGTAGGCGGAATTCCCGCCGGTGGTGAACTCCTTCCGCCGAAGGCGAACGTCTACGTATCTTCCAATAGTGATAACTCCCTAAGTCCTCATCCGTTCCAAGCGTTCTTGGTCTCGTTGGAATCAGTGCGTCGAGCTCTTTCCAACGAGACCCTAACTCGGTCAAGGCGCCCGAGGGTTGACCTAATTATGAAGGATCTCCCTACCGCCGAGAACGCAACCTCCGAAGGCGGGTTTTGCGCCTTGCGTCGCAGGGATCCTAACTGCAGAGCTCGCAGGGAGGGTGGTGCCTGTCCTTACTGCTGCACCCCAAATCCTAGATTCTACAAGATCCCTCGAGAATCCCCGCGATCTTCCGGATTCACTCTGTTTTGATGCACCGATGGCTATTTACAATGCTGCCAGGGTACAGTTTTTTTCCAAAAATGTTTTAATTTCCTCAAAATTACCAAAAGTGGGGTACCACATTTTGTCTTCATGCTGAATAGAACTTTTTGCATGGATTATTTTCATCAAATGAACAGGGCAAAGGATCAGATTCGTCTTCTTCGGAATCGATATCGTTCAATGTAGATTTTCGATATCTTTTTGACCCTGTATCAGAATGTAGTACTGAACATTTTAAGGAAGAATGAAAGCGGAGCCAGATTTGTGAGTCCCGATGCGATATACTTCTTTCGTAGTGGGGAATGTATTCTATGGATAAGGTTGAGAGTGTAAAAAAAAATTGATAGGTTTCGCCAGTAGCATCAAATATTCTGTCATTGTTATCGGAAGAAATAGTAAAATCAGCGGTCATGGGTTCGTCCATGTTCTCTAGAAGATTTCCTCGCTTTGTAGGTCGAAGACCGCACGATCTTTAGACTTGAGGGAACTCTGTAAACGATGGGGATGTAGCTCTGAAGAACAAAAGATATCTCTCTTTTTGTGTCCAGTTGCAGTTGTTTGACATCAAATGCCACGTTTGGACTCTGTAAAACAACTGAAATTCTTATTTTTCAACTCGGCATTCGTAGCTTGGTACTGTATCAGTCGTACTGGACCTCATCTTCACCACTGTTGTAGGAGCTCCTCTCTCAATTCTTGTGAGTATCCTTCAATTTCTGATTTTGAGTTGTGGACTGAGTCTCCTCACAAGATTGAATTACGAATAGATAAATAAGTTTATAAATAAATAAATAGAATAGAATAGAATAGAATAGAATACATTCCATCCTACATCCTGATGTCAGCATGTCTGTTTTAGGTCTCGTTATTAGAATGATATAATACTGCTTCTCCAATATTGAAGAGATTATGCATTGTGTATGTTTTGCTTCGTAACTAATGTAGAATCTGTGAAATAGTTCCACAATTGTGAGCGCTACCTAGTCTGCATTTGATTTTATGATGTATCTTCACTGACTGCCTTCTTGCAGTCTCCATAGGTGTGACCAATACTGTTTTGAAATTACAAAGACTATACTTGACGGACACGTTAGAGTGTTAGAGTGAAGTGAATTGATTGAAAGAAAGGCTTCTAAATCAAAGAACTCTCGACCACTTTTGAAAACAATACGGGTGCGCTGTTAAAGATTAATGAAACTAATGCTCTTGGCCGCCTACATCATCACCTTAACAGATAAGGTACTAATTTTATTGAAATTTTGTAATCATGATGTTTGTGATGATCATCATCGCATGATTAAAATTCAGTGCCTCTTTCTTATGATCGTGATTTCCTCTGCTAGCTTAAGTATCTTAAAACATCTTAGACAAGAATATCGGTACGGTATAATCGGCAACATATGTGTATATGTACGGTAATATCCGTATCTCACGAGTACTTACTCGTGAGATTCAGTATCTTGGACTTGTCTAAAGATAATATGATGTTCATGCTGAGAGTACGTAAAACCTTTGACAACTTGGAGATCCAAGTTGTCCATCCAAACCATATCAGAGGATTTTCAACTCATATTTAATAAAGTGGATTTTACTGACTATTATGTACAGGCCAAGAGTACGAAATACCGTTGACCACTGGGGGTTAAAAAATTTTCATCGAAAAATACACTGGATCTAGCCTGTTGGTAAGCCTGAAGCCCCCAACTGTTCATCTTCTTCTATCAGCTATCTCATCTACCGAGACAATAGTGATTGAAGATTGATTCCGAGTGTGAATTCAAAAGACAAGAACAGATTCTTTCAAGCCTTTTGGGATATCAATGATAAGGGGATCCATAGAGCGTCCAGGTGAATCCAAAGCCGTTTACAACCTGTGGTGCACTACGTTACATTTCGATTTCCAAGTTCTGGAAATTTCGCTATTAGTCGCTGGGTGTCGAATCGAGTGTATCAGAAACTTGAGCTGTATCGCCAACACTAAACTACGCCCATCGAGAACTATGCACAAGAGAGATAATGTGCCAGTAAGAATCAACTTCTACATTTCCCATTTTACCCTCGCATGATTAAAATTCAGTGCCTTTCCTGTGCTAGCTTAAGTATCTTATAACATCTTTGACAAGAATATACTTACTCGTGAGATTCTGTATATTGGACTTGTCTAAAGATAATATGATGTTCATGCCGAGAGTACGGAAAACCTTTGACAACTCGGGGATCCAAGTTGTCCATCCAAACCATATCAGAAGATTTTCAACTCATATTCAATAAAGTGGATTTTACTGACTATTAAAATATGTACAGGCCAAGAGTACGAAATACCGTTGACCACTTGGGGTTAAAAGTTTTCCATCCGAAAGAGATCAGAGGATTTTGCACTCAGACGCGGTTGTCATTTATCATATTTGCTCGGTGGCAGAGCATTAATAGTTACATCTCGTGATTATTCCCGTTATCATGACATGGAGTACATCACATATCATTGACAAAAGGAGGTTCAAGTCTCCCAAAGCTTTCCTGACGAACACTTATCACTAAACTTAACCGATTGTGTAAGCGTTCACGTGCTCGTCCAGCATCTCCCTTGTATTCTGTCCCGGTATTGATCACCTCTATGGAGACTGCAAGAATACCGTCACAAGTATTAGTACAGTGAAGATACATATGAAATAAGGTCCCAGATATGTATTGATGTGCAACAAGTTACAAATCCACATATATTTCATTCGAAATTGAGCGAGAGAAACTACGCGCATGATCTCGTTCATGGTACATAGGCAGTAAATTCTGTATCCAATAATGACAACTCTAAACTGATCTGCTTAAGCCGGGTTCTAATGTAAATCACATATGAATACGTGTGAGTCATAGCTTGTGATGATGGCAATTGTAGCAGTTGGCAAAAATCCTGAATTAAAGCTTGAAGGGTACTCACGAGAATTGAAAGAAGAGCCCCGACAACAGTGGTGAAGACGAGGTTCAGTACTACTGAAACTGGACCGTTCAGCAAGCCTGTGATGGTGGCAACAAGACCAGTTCCGGCTGAGTTCGTGCGGATGACAATGTTGGTGACATTCGAAACAGTGAGCACTCGTCCCACTTGCGATGTGACCCCTAGAGCCGTGCTCTGCATCAGCATGTCTACTTGGCCGTCGACGGCCTGAAAGTTTCGGATAACGAACTGTCCAGCGTTGGCAGGGACTGTGGACAGCAGGTTCAATCTGCCGTTCAAAATCTGGAAGATCAGAACTTGGACGGTGCTAAGATTGTTGACTGTGATAACTGGCGTCGTCGGCGGTGCTGGTGGTGGGGACTGCGCAGCCACTGGGCTCCATGCTGCGAGGACCACAGCAAATGCTGCCACCACAAGGAACGCAGTCTTGGTCGTCATGGCTGCAGGTGCGGATGCAACTCAGACAACTGAGACTTTGCTAGCCTAAGATCTGCAACGCAGCGAATGTTGATGGAAAGAAGTTCAGAAGCCATTACAATTTATAGTGACGCCGATTGTGCTTCTTCTGAAGGGACAATAATCGAGGTTCTGGAGACGGTGAGTTGTTTCTTCCACTGATTCAATCTGAACCCTTGATCTGCATGTTCGGTAGTTCGTGCCCAAAATATCTGCCACGTAAAGGGCCATGTATCATCTGTGTACTTTCTAGGCAGATGAGGATTTCAGGTGTATGATGTTTTGATTCTACTTTGGTCGTGCACTGAAAAGTTCCGACTACTGTTCCTTAAAGTGAAGGAGGCTTGATGTCCTGCCGGCAAGGTCATCATATGTCCTCTCTATCACATTGAAGATGGAGCTGTGTATTCGTATACATGATAGATATGGTCCTGTATATTCTCAATTATGGAAATTAAAGTGATAAAGTGCACGTTGGCCAAATGAACAAAGAAATTTGGCTCGTCGTCTACGTGATTGATCAATGCAGATCAGTGCGCATCAATGAACAGCTAGAGTGTGCACTGTGGCCTGGTACTCACTTTCTGGAGAAAGAAGGAAAACCATATTCACGACAGCCAAAGCTCTTCCAACCGTCTGCATTATTGTTGCTGCACACGAACCTAAATTGCACTCACTATATAATCCATTGGATCCCCCTTATTTTTCACAATCGCTCACAACCTTCCTGTTCAGAAGCTTATCCAGCATAGTATCGGTGTTCTCACTTGTATTCCCAGCTCCAGCCATGGTTTCCAAGACTGCCTTGTTTCTGGTGGCAGCATTTGCTGTGGTCCTCGCAGCATGGAGCCCAGTGGCTGCGCAGCCCCCACCACCACCCGCGACCACACCAGTTATCACAGTCACCAATGCTAGCCCCGTCGAAGTTTTGATCTTCCAGATTCTGAACGGCACATTGAACCGGCTGGCCACAGTCCCCGCCAACTCTGGCCAGTTCGTCATCCGAAACTTTCAGGCCGTCAACGGCCAGGTAGACTTGCTGGTTCGGAGCACGGTGATGGGGGTCACATCGCAAGTGGGACGAGTGCTCACTCCTTCGAATGTGACAAACATCGTCATCCGCACGAACTCAGCCGCAACCGGTCTGCTCGTGACCATCACCGGGCTGCTCAATGGTCCAGTGTCAGTGGTACTGGACCTCATCTTCACGACTCTGGTCGGGGATCTTCTCTCCATTCTTGTGAGTATCCTTCAATCTCTGATTTTGAGTTATGGACTGACTCTTTGTATTATCATCGTCACAAATTTTGATTCTTATATCTAAAAAAATAGATAAATTTTAAATATAAATAAATATATAAATATCTTAAATCCGGATGTCCGCATATCTGTTTGAACCTTGGTAGTAAAACTGATAGAATCCTTCTCCTCCAAGATTGAAAAGATTATGCATTATGTAACCTTCGCTTTGTAACTAATGTACAATCAGTTATTTATGCAATTTTGAGCCCTACATCATCTGCATGTGATTTCAGATGTATCTAAGGGTACTAATACTTGTGATGGGCTTCTTTCAGTCTCCATAGACGCGATCAATACTGTTTCGAAATAGCAAGGACGATACAGGACGGAAACTTGAAGATTATCACCTTCATTTAGTGATCATTGTTCGTCAGCTACACTGTGAGATACTTGAAGTCATAGGGCGTAATATGTCTGTACGCTACAAGATATCCTTCCAAAGTCATGATGACGGAAGCAATATCAAGACAGGAGTGTCAATGCTCTTCTTACCAGCCAATGTAATAAACGACAACCACTTTGGAGTTTTAGATTCTCTGATCTAGGTTTGATGACCTGCATGGCCATGGATAAAAAACTTGGAGTCCCAATTTGCAGAAGGTTTTCCGTCTTCTACGGCTGTGCCTGAGATGAAATTGATACATCCCCAGTACACCGATTCTCGCAGGATACTATATCGGTGTCCTCCTAAAGGTTCATATCATATGAACGTTAAGGTGAATCCTCTGATAGTGGCATACATATGAATGTACAATCCTGAGATGAAATACAATATGAAATATACAATCCTTCAGTGGTACTTGACCTCGTCTTCACGATTGTTGTCGGAGTTCTTCTTTCAGTTCTTGTTAGTATCTGTGGATATCTGATTGCGAGTTCTTGACTCTGTGTTCTCATTTCCATCCTTATAAGTCATGTCTTTGATAGTTTAAAATCGGTAAGAAAATTTATTTCTTTTACCCAGTCGTCAATAGTTCTATAGCTATCTTCATAGGATAGCAATTATCCAACACTAAAGAGATTATGCTTTCAACGAAGAATTGTGAAAATGCTGGCATCTGTGGATCTGATTTCATATCATTATTCACCCCACTAATACTTGTGATGCGCTTCTTTCAGACTCCATAGAGATGATCATTACTGTGAATAAAAATTATAAAGACGATGCTGGACGAATATAGAAACAGAACCGCAAACTGTATAGCGATCAGTAGGTTACTTAAGCCGTGAGACTTGTAATTCAAAGAGCTGTATTTGTCTATGTGACATTCTTCCAAGACATTACCACGGGAACAATTTCCAGATATCACTGTCATTGCTCCGCCACCGAGGCACTGTAATAAAAGACAAGCGCTTTTGAGTTGGAAGTCCTCTGATCTGGGTTGGAATACACTCGCATTTAGAACTTGAAGTACAAAGATGGCCACGGGTTTTCATCATCAAGGCCTCAGCCTGGCCTAATGTTCATTATGCCCAGTAGACTGAATCTCGCGAGAAATAAAATTCGTGTCCGTCGTACATTTTCTGGTCATACATCATAGGACCAGAGAGTCTCACAATTAGATCAACGTGGCACCATTAAAAGTGATCTCGCCAGGCTGATGACCAGCTTTGTATATTTCACTCATTGCTCTCTCACACCTCACTCGAAATCTATAGGAGCGCTGGTAGAGAGCTTTTTGAATAACAAAAATCTAATAAAATGAACTCTAACAAATAAATCAATTACTACACATTTTGTTAAATCATGGATCTTTTGTTCAATGAAACTGAGAAGAAAATTGATAATCAATAATCATAAACCAAAGGAAGTGATTTTGCCAGTGATTAAACGATTGACCATGGTCCATGTCGAGGAAAAATGTCTAGATTCTTCCGAATTATTGAATCGATATCTTTTATACAAAAACTTTTTGTTCGTTTTTATATTATAAAATTTTGGGTTCATATTATTTACCTTCAAATATTGAGAATCATAATTTTTACATTCACATAATGTAGTTTCAAATATGCAATGACTGGCTTCATTAAAAAAAATATAAAAAATTGCTCATTTGAAGTACTTTTCTGGATTAATCAAAACTCAGGGTTAAATTTTCACTGAAATTTAAGTTTACTTAGTTGTCCACAATGACATCACCATCTTCGCGTTACTACTTTGTGTGACAAACATGATGGCAAGATTGATCTATTCATGTGTTTTGCGACTGTATTGATTCGCCAATGAATTTGGGAATCTCTCAAATTTAGATTATCTGCACCAAAAGAAAGAAAATACTGCAGACTTTACCACCATATCATTTCTATTTGCATGGTAATAGTCAGATATTCAATTGTGCCAAAAGTAGCAAAACCGAAGATTGTATAGTGAATGTGCACAACAAAATGTACTCTGTGCAAATCCTGATGATAATTTGATGAAGTCATTCATGCCATGAACTCCTCGCCTTTATAATTTGACTAGAAGATAATGGAAGCGGGTGTTATGCTCCCTTAGATACTTGCTATCCAACTGATCCTCTCCTAAAAATTTTCTTAGCGCTATACCATCTGCAAATTGTACACAATTATTACTGTATTTGGAAAAAGTATCAATACACACTACTGAAATAGATAAAATTATGTTAGGAAGATTTGTATGCCATAAGAATTTGATATTGAATATATTCAAACCGTAGTGTAGTTAGAAAAATTATTCTTTCTCGAATGCATTTGATTATTGTATAACATTTATACCGTATAAAATATTCGATTCAAATTAAAAATATTTAAGAATAAATGATTGTAATTTTATATCAAGACCATATCATATTTTGCCACCAATAATGCTGTAATGATATGAAGTATTATAGGCTTTAGTTTCTTAACTTACAAGAGGCTTAAGAAATCAAGTAACAAAAGGACAAAAGTTGTTTATGGGCGCCCTCATTGATACTCAATTGTTATAATATGCACATACATAATATCAGTGCAGCAAGCTAATTACATGATATAAGTTGATCTTTTTAATCATTCCGAGAGCAGAATCCCTGAAAGCATGTTCGAACGACGACTACAAACAACTACTTTTATTCTTAGTCTTAAGGAAAGGTTCTTATTACGTGACATATTCAGCGACATAAGCTGACATATCCAAATCGGAAGTTTACAGTGCCCTTCAGACACACTTAGTGATGGAGCTACGAATCTCTGATCTGTTCTGGACTTGTTGCTTGACATCCTACGAATGTAGAAACCGAGAACACAATCATGACTAGTAAACTATTGACGATGACGGGAATTCGGCATGCCTTCTATAAATTTTGAAGACCACTTCTAACTAATGCTGGCAGAGTTAGAAGTGTACCACATCTAATACCAGGGTTGTACCCGGGAAGCAGGTAACCACTGATACAAATGCAAAACAAATGTCATGGTTGTTCATGAGAAGAAGTACCGAGCATCTGTCTTCATCCAATTTCTGAGCTATAATCTTCATTGTAAGTTATAGATGCTTTCTGCATGATAGAAACATGACTTTCTCTTTAGATGTGACTCTGAATTTGCGAGTGTGCTAAAGAGGTGTGGACTTGACAGGAAATTATAATTGTTTCGTGAAGGGATATAGGCATAACGTTGATAACCAATCAGTAGTGGACCGATGAAAGATCTGAAAGTATGAGTGACATGTCTTCTTAAGACATTAGAGGTGACGCCTTTCACAATTCAGGATTGACTGAAGAATAATACCTTAGGGGAGAAGGAGAGGATATTTTAGCTCGAGGGATGGAATTGGAGTGGAGAATGAGTCAGAGTATCTTCGGGATAAATTTGTTGAAGGTGTAGAAATCTCAGACTTTGCTAGAGTAACCATGAACGTAATCGTCTGCCGGGATTGCAAAACGAGAGATAATGTGTTGGACTACGCTTCCGGTGACGTCATCTGCGTCGAGTGTGGGCTGGTTCTGGAGTCTCATTTCGTGGAAGACGCGCCGGAATGGCGTACATTTGCGGACCAGAGTGGAGCGAAGGATCGAAACCGAGTTGGTGATTCGTACAATGCCCTGCTTCCAGACGGTGGCATCTCCACAACCTTCAGCCAAGTGGAGGGTAATTCCATTTCGTCATGCCTCAAGCGTGCAGAATCTCGACTGCCCAATGGAGACAGCAGTCGGCTCCTCTCTAGCTTAATCAGATGTGCCTCTATGGCTTCACGACTGGGTCTGGTCCGGAGCATTCAGACCATTGCTTCCGATATCTATCAGAAGGTGACAAACCTGAATTTCACCAAAGGGAAAAATCAAGATGCGGTACTGGCGTCTTGTTTGTACCTGGCGTGTCGTCAGGAGGGCAAAACCCGGTCGATGAAAGAGATTTGTTCGGTTGCAGAAGGTACTTCGCTGAAGGAACTGGGACGAGCTTTACTCTGCATCGAGAAACACATGAAGGAAGATCTAGGAATGGGCAAGTCCGTCAATGCAGCAGATTTCGTGATTCGTTTCTGCATAAAGCTAGGGGTGAGTTATAAAGCGAGATTAGCAGCCACTGAAATCGTCCAGATGGCTGACAACCGGCTCGACGTGAGGAGAAACCCCATGTCTGTGGCTGCAACTGCAATATTCATGGTTTCCCAGCTCCATGAATCAGGGAAGAGTTCTATCGAAGAGATCTCTATATTTTGTGGTGTGTGCAGAAAGACAATATTGGAAACTTATGGAGTTCTCCTCCCTCATGCTTCCATGATCATTCCGGCTTGGTTTGCTAACGACGAACAGCTCAAAGCTCTTCCACCTCTTCCACTCAAACGACGAGATGCAAAAAATGATGGAAAGTTGGAATCGGGTTCCCACTCCAGAACGACATCGATTAACACATGAGTTACAAGTCCATAAGAGAAATGGAGAATTGGAGAATCTTCCTAAACATATCTCATCGCTGTCAAATCTAAAAGATTCATCTGGTTGGATTGCATGCATGCATGCAAGTTGCATGCTATCAAGCTCTGCAAAAGTATGACAATTCATGCCTCGTGGTTCACTTTGAGATCACCAACAACATGACAACTGCGATGGCTTATGTTTTTAGCAGAAGCACAAATTTATGAGTTGTCTCTCCTGTCCGCAACAGATTTGCAGTGAACGTTTTATCCAAAATATTTCACAACAAAGCAGCAGGAGGCTATGAAGTAAAAGATGGCTGCAGACATCAGCTCGACAGCAAGCGCAATAGCTTTGAGAAACAAGACTTTACTCTTGCGATCCAGGATGATGCCACTGCGCACAACTTGTAACTGGTTGTGTACTGGAGGTGTTGCATTCTTTGTTACTTGACAATCATGCCTAAAATATAAGACTTATTGAGACAATGATACAAAAGTCTAATTTTTTTCCTAGGATATTCACTATCAGCAAGTTTTACACTGAATGTCGTTTCAGTTATCCGCTTTCTCTGCTTGTAGAAAAATAATCAAGTCTCTCAAGTAAATGGGATTATCTTATGTTGCTTGATTTCACTTGAGAGAAAGCCTTAACATTGAGTTCATATGATATTCGCATGGATGAATATAAAATTCTTTGGGGAATGCTTTTCACTATGTTTTAAAGCACATATTCATTTCTTCATTGTTTTTTTAATTTGGAATACTGTTCTTCTCATGATTCGAAAGCCCAAGCAAGGATTTATTTCTTCATGAGGAGCGCATGATAATATTCTTTAATCCAAACCCAAGCTGTGATTGTTAAATGCTCATTATACGTATATTTCATGATTTTTCAGTATAACGTAATTTATAGTTAACGTATCTTCCTTTACGTTAACTTTGGTCAACTTGACATTTTGCTGGCGTCTTAAAGTTATTAATACAAAGCATAGTGTGCTAATACCTTGTTAGTAGAAACATTGAGAATATTTTTTTATACAAAACATTCATCAGCCTCCCTCCTGTTCAAATTTGTGTTGATCGAACGAGAAGATTTTACTCTTGCAAAACCAAAATTCTTGCATTGTTGTTAATTTTTTATACTTTTCTGATTCGATATTTATTATATTTTGTATTATACATTGTTATTACCTTATTGCTCTAAATGAAGTGAAAAAGTCAGACGGCGAGTAACATATTACCTTCAATGAAAATGGTAAGAAGAAAGAAGAGAATTACGCAAAATAGTTCTTGGTGAGAGACCTAGAAGGTTGATTGTGATCAAGTTATCATGTAAAAGATCTTGGAAGTTTATACAAGAGATAAAGAGAACGTAATTACTCCCAATGAAGTGAAAAAAGCTAATGGCGGGTATCATGTTGCAGTCAGTTAGGATGACGAGAAGAAAGAAGAAGAGGAGGAAGTGAGATCATTGTTGTCGAGAGAACTAGGAAGTTGATCGTCATCAAGGTGTCATGCAAGAGGTCTTGAAAGTTGATGCTAAAGATTAAGAGAACGTAGTTACTCCCTGTGAAGCGAAAAAGGCTATAGCAAGAACCATGCTGGCAACAACCATGTGGATGTCGTAATTATTGAGAATGGCAAAAAGAAAAAAGAAGGGTAAAAGCAAGATCTTACTAATCGAGCAAACTAGTCAAGAGGTCCTCTGAGTTAAGGCAAAAGGGAAGGAGAAAGGAGTTGCACTTGATTAAAAAAGGTCTAACGGCAAGTATCATGTTGACACCGCAGTTAGTGACATGACAAGAGAATAAAAAAAAAAAAGCAAGATGGGTATGATTGAGCAAACAAGGAAACTGATGATGATCAAAGTGTCATTTAAGAGTTCGTGGAAGTTATGGAAAAAGATGAGAAAAATGTGATTCCTTCCAATGAAGAGAAAAAGGTTAATGGTGAAAACCATGTAGAAGCCTGAGTTACTAAGCATGGCAAAAAGAAAAAAGAAGCAAAGGAAGCAAGGTGATTCTGGTTGAGCAAACTAGAAAGCAGATGATGTTCAAGGTATCATAAAAGTTGCTGCAAAAAAGTATGAGAAAGAAGTTACACTTGGTGAGGAGAAAAGGGCTAACGACAAGTCTCATGTTGCCGCCCTAGTTATTGAGATGGTAAGAAGAAAGAAGAAGAGTAAAAAGCAAGATGATATTAGTTGAATAAACGGGACAACTGATGATGATTAAAACTGATGATGGTTCCGCTGAAAGTGCCGCAGATTGGTATGCGGACGGATGGAAGGCACAGACGCCTTTGGCAGAAGCAAGACGGCCTTCGGGTCATGAGAAACAACATGCGGCACCGACGAATGTGCCGGCGGCGGACAGGTGATTCGCGTTCGAGCAAGTACCGTTCGATGACTCGACCTTGGGTCAGGAGCCTTCGGCGCAGCAGAAAAGTCGGAACGAGCCTTCGGGTAAGGCGCCTTTGGCTCAAGGGCCTTCGACCCAAGAGCTTTCGGGTAAGGAGCCTTCGAGCCAAGAGCTTTCGGCTGAAGCGCCTTCGGCTCAAGGGCCTTCGGCTCAAGGGACTTCGGGTCAACGGCCTTTGGGTGAGCCGCCTTTGGCTCAATCGCCTTCGGCAGAAGCGCCTTCGGCACAAACCCCATGCGAGGGGACGGTCGACGAAGAGAAGGAGGAGGCACGTGCGCCTTCGGCACAGCCACCTTCGGCTCATGCGCCTTTGGCAGTGACAGATCAGACGGGCGGTGCGGGCTTGTCGGGAACAGGATCCCCCACCGCATTAGACATTTTGGTAGGGAGTAGTGCGGCGGCAGCAGCAGCAGAAGCTACGCAACCCAACTTCCGGGAATCACCGGGAAATTCCCTCGCGACCGAAATCCTCAATTCGGAGGATGATAAAGACGAATCGGGCTCGGAGGAGGAGGAGCAGTCGGTGAAAGTGTGGTAACCCACTTTTTGTTTTTGTGCGGAATTTAAAACATTTTTGGAAAACAGTACCGCAGCAGCCGTGTAAATGGTAATCGGTACATTTAAATAGAGTGAAGATGGATAATCGCAGGTCTTGTATGATCTCGTAGAATCCAGGAGTTGAGCGCAATGTCCGGAACAGGCGCCCCGGCCTAAACAATCGATTCTGAAGGGAATCTCCCTCGGCGCAAGGCGCATAATCCACCTTTGGCGCTAGGGAAATCCCTCAGAACTTATTCAATTCACAACGCCTTGACTTGTTTAGGGTCCTGTTGGAAAGACATCAACGCCTTCGTTCTAACGAGTCCAAGAACGCTTAGAACGGATGAGGAATTAAGGAGTTATGATTATCGGAAGATACTGAGAGGGAGCGCCTTCGGCGGAAGGGCTAGGTCGACGGGCGAGCCGCCTTCGGCCCTAGATATTCGCCTTCGGAGGTGAACTTCTTTGTACGGCGCCTTCGGCGCCAGCGCATCAAGATTAGGTAAACGCCTTCGGGGGTAGCAACTCCGTACGGTCCGCCTTTGGCCCAACGCCTTCGGCGGTACGGACATGTGCGCCTTCGGCGGAACGGAGCTCCGGCGGCAAAAGCGCCTTCGGGGGGACAAGAGGGATCGACAGACAAGACAAGACCTGTTGACTGCGGTCAACGCCTTTGGCACATTCGCCTTCGGCACAGCGCCTTCGGCGATGCACCTACGTCGACGGACGTCTTCAAGAAGTCCGCCTTCGGCGCTGTGGGTCAATGCCTTCGGCGGAAGGAGTTCGCCTTTGGTGGTGCGGGATAGATCAGAGTTGCGAGTCGGCCAGAGGCAAAAGCCTCCGCCGCCACACCTTCGGTGATACGCCTTCGGCGCTACGCGAACACGGCCGCGGCGAAGTGTGATGACAGAAATCAAATTCAGTTTTCGAGCGTTTGCGTCCGCGCAACGGCGGAGCGTGAAGTCGAGCGTGCGAGAGGAGCGCCGTTACGCCTCTAAGCCGGCGTAGCCATCAAGTGAGTCAATACTCACGACCAAGTGTCGACAATGAAATCTTGTGAGCCGAGGGCGGGCGACTCGTTCTTGAATTTGCAATTTTGATTTCTCGTGAGAGCTACCCGCACACACATTCTGGCAGAGAGAAATCTTAGAAGGCGACATGCAGAGACTTGCATAGCTGAGGGAGAATTGAGTGCGCGACAGCAGGAATTGAGTGAGAGTAGAGTTTGCAGAGGAATCGCAGCCGCAAGCAAGAAGCTTGTGCATAGCAGAGGAGAGTTTGCAAAGTACGATTTCAAGAACGCGATGTCGAAGGCAACTCAGCTGCGGATGATTCCGCTGAAGATTCTGCAGATTGGGCTGCGCGCTTTCCAGCACCAGCTGTCTGCAGTGAAGCTCGAATTCCTCCTGTGGGGATGGAATTACGTGTGTAATAACCCACCAAAGGCTAAAACTGCAATATAGTGGTAGAAAGGTCGAACCCACAGGGACAAAGGCAACACACAGAGTACAAAGTGTCACATTTAACAGAGTATTGAAGATTTTGAATTCTCAAGCGACTGTCACTCCCAGAAATACTGCAAGTGTTCACTCGAGCTCACTCGGAGGTCGCACAATGCAGCGTAGTTCACTCAACACACACACACACACACACACACCTGAAACTATAGAAACACAACTCAGAGGTCGGTTAGGACCTCTACTTAAGATTTCAGGGGGAAAGTCTCTCACGAATACACTCAACGAATCTGCGGGTAGTGACTCCCAACTCCGGCTTTTACAACCCTTCCACTAGTTTCTGCTAGCACAGGGAACCCGGATTGGACTTCTTACTTCGGATCGAAGTCACTCACACGCGGTGAACAACACCCTCAACTCACAAAACGCGCAGAGAACATAGGTCTGACTGAGACACTGAGCTGAGAAACGATCCAGTAGCACACCATAATAGTCTATTGAAGAGTTTGAATTCTTAGGCACTTGTCATTCCTAGAAATATTATAGGGGTTTGTGTAATAACCCACCAAACGCTAAAACTCCAATATAGTGGTAGAAAAGTCGAACCCACAGGGACAGAGTCAACACACAGAGTACAAAGTGTCACATTTAACAGACTATTGAAGAGTTTGAATTCTCAAGCCACTATCACTCCCAGAAATACTGCAAGTGTTCACTCGGAGCTCACTCGGAGGTCGCACAGTGCAGCGTAGTTCACTCAACACACACACACACACACACACACGTGAAACTATAGAAACACAACTCAGAGATCGGTTAGGACCTCTACTTAAGATTTCAGGGGGGAAAGTCTCTCACGAATACTGTAATAACCCACTAAAGGCTAAAACTGCAATATAGTGGTAGAAAGGTCAAACTCACAGGGACAGAGGAACACACAGGGTACAAAGTGTCACATTTAACAGACTATTGAGGAGTTTGAATTCTCAGGCGACTGTCACTTCCAGAAATACTGCAAGTGTTCACTCGGAGCTCACTCGGAGGTCGCACAGT